TTCGCGATTTGGGTTTCGCGATAATAATTTCGCTATAAAATTTTCGCGATTAAAGTTTCGCGGTAATGTATTCGCTTTAAAGGTTTCGCGATAAAGGTTTTGCTATAAAATTTTCGCGATTATTGATTCGCGATAAAAGTTTTGCGGTAATGTATTCGCTTAAAATGTTTCGCGATAAAAGTTTCGCTATAAAATTTTCGCGATTATTGATTCGCGATAAAAGTTTCGCGGTAATGTATTCGCATTAAAGGTTTCGCGATAAATGTTTCGCTATAAAAAATTCGCGATATTTGTTTCGCTATATTGTATTCGCGGTAATGTATTCGCTATAAAGGTTTCGCGATAAAGGTTTCGCTATAAAAAATTCGCGATATTTGTTTCGCGATATTGCGTTCGCGGAATAGTATTCGCTATTATGGATTCGCGATAAAAGTTTTGCTATAAAATCCATTCGCGATAAACGACATTCGCGATAAAAGTTTCGCTGAATTGACATGGAACCATAATTTTATATAAAAAAATGAATAAATAAGTCTTGAACCCAATAATCTTAAAACTTAAGCAAGATGTTTTTGCCTTTACTTAAAAAATTATTTATTTATCGAAAGTTTTATAATTTTATAAAATTATAAATAAATTTTATAAGAAAATTGATTAATTTCTGGCTATTCTATGTCCTTTTATAGAAATCTATAAACTATAAAATAAATAATCTTGCCTTTTCAAATGATTAAAATTAGTAAAGGTTGAACACGAAATTAAGATAACAATTTAAATATAAAAAGTTGCACTCTGATATTTGTGGGATTTAGCATGCTAAATACATATTGTTTTTGGGGTGCTTTTTCTTGAGTAATTTCCTAGATAAAATTTGGATCATTTATTTAGTACTACTATTATATCTTATTAAGACCAAGGCCTTCATGAATTAAGATACACCCTTCTATGGATACAAAGATTGGCGTAATAAAAATTTCTATTTTGAATTAAAACATAGAATGCAAATGCGACCCGTTCGGTTCGATGTCACCCCAATGTGGACCTGATGGCCGTTGTCCTTGCAAGCCGGGTACAACCGGCATAAAATGCAATAAGTGCGAAGAAAACAAATTCGACCTGAGAGCTGGATGTCTAGGTTAGTCTAAAATTTTATTTATATATTTTTATAGCAACCTTTTAAACTTAATTTACATCTTCATTCTTATATTCCACCCTTTTTTCTACCTAGAAAGTGATTTTACTTTCTTAATTTTTTTTTTAAAGTTACTTGAAGTTAGTTGTTTTGAAATGCCTCTTATTTCTAATATAATCTATATGTAAATAAACTTCTTTTACCTTATTCGAATAAATTGATGTTTTACTAAGCACATTCTTTTCTTCTTATTCTCTTATCAATTTGTTTAAATAAAGATTGTCCAGCATGTTATGGCCTCGTCCAAGGTCGGGTTAGGGAACAAAGGCGACACATAGCTGATCTAAGAACGGTGTTAAAAGATATGGGAGAAAGACCGCCCGCTCTTACTGACACAGACTTCGAGGCATCTCTAAATACGGTTTATGGTTCGCTAGATCACCTGAAACAGGAGGCGCGAATGGCAACCGGTAAAAATTCTATAAATCTGAAATAATTTTGTGACATGTTACATATACTGGCTTAGGCAATATATATATTGACTGATCTCGCGAATTTATTGTAATACCTTTAATTAAATCACTAATTTTTCTTATATTTTTATTCGTAATTATTTTATAATGAATTATTATTTCATTATCAAACCTAACCCTTTAAATAATCATTTAGGCGGCGACTTCGGCATCTCGGGCAAGATCCACGAATTAGCAGATCGTGTAGAGACCGGATTTGAACTGGAATCTCAAATCCTCGAAGCTGCTCGTGCCATCAATCGCACAGTGCTAATACCTGTTAAAGATAGATTAGCGGATGAAACTGATCCGGCTCTGGAAGACCTGACTGAAGCCCTTAATCGTGCATCAGCATATTATTCCGAAGAAGCCCGGACCGCATTCGAAGCTGCTCGAAAAGCGGCCCATGAGTTTGGTTCTCGGTCTGCCATCATGTCGGAACTCTCTGGCATGTCAAGAGCGAAAATAGAGAGGTAAAACCTTTAATCTATGAAGTTAATTTTTTATATTATATCTAAGAAGAAGATCGATAAAGCATATTAATTGTATACTATTTATTATTTTTTAACATATTTTTTTAAAATATAGTTTGACCAGCCAATCTAGCGCAATATACGATTTAGCGACGGAAGCCCATAACGTGACTAAGAAAACCGAAGAATTATCTTTGAATATGATAAACGGGCAAAATGCTTTATCGGAAGATATCTTAGAACTGAATCGAAAGTTTAAAAATAATTTCTTCTTCTTTGATTGACCTTATTAATATAATTTCTAAAGCCCTGAAATTTTAAGAATACTTCGACATATTTTATAAGGCTAATGCCATTCTAGACCCTTAGTTATTTAATGAATTAATATTTTAAAAACAACTTTATATATCAATTTTGTAGGCATAAAAACAAAAATAATCCATTTGTATTTATAAAATACCATAGGTTCTAAACTTAATATATTGAAAATAAATTATACAATGGGTAGTTATTTTCCCAGGGAACCATAGTTCCATCATTCATCACATATAAAAATTTCTTCAAACCTTTAATTCTATAAAGCTTACTAAATAAAATTAGAATACTTAATGCAAAAATTGTTGATAGAATCATAAGAAAATAATAAAGTTTAAGTTTGTCTTGAGAACAAAAATTTTAATTAAATTTAAAAATAAGAATTTGAAAATGAGTTATATACATCTATCAAATCTCTTAAAGCTTCAAATTTATTAGTTTTACTTCAACTGTCAATATAATCAAATCATTTATTAAATAGCCAGAAAGATTCAGAATATGTTTACTATATTTAAAACATTTACATTACTGAATTTAGCAAAGCTTGATAATGATGTCATTTGGAAACTTATACATCATCCAAGCTCTACCTTTTAAAAATCATTTGTTCGTTAAGATAAGAAACACTATTTTGGATTACAATCTTTAAAAGTATACAATTAAGTTTTAAATTCTACAAAAGATATCGTGAGACTGAAACTCTTTTCAACCATACACGACGATTGTCCCAAAAGGCTTTCAATACGGCCGTCGAGGCATACGACAAGGCGCTAAGCATTTACCAAGAAGCCCTCGAAACCAAGCTGCCAGAGATAGATGTTAAAGATCTTCTTAGACAAGCCAGCGATCTAACGGAACAAGTTTCATGAAATTCTTTTTAGTTATTTTTCTGAAACCAACCTCTTGGATCATGTTTATGCATATCGACTGAATTAACGCGATTTTAAGATTTAAAATAAATTAAACTCGGGATTTTGGTTATATAATGTGTATATTTTATACTAATGAAAATTTTAAAGTTCTAGCACTATATTTGGAGTTAAGGGCCTTCAAGGCCCATTGTGAGCCTTTTCTTATTTTAACGAATCTCAAATTATGCAAAATAATTTTCATCCATACTCATAAATTATATATTATTAGTACAGACATTAAAAGTAATGAACCAGCAATGATATGGAATATCTTTTAAAAAAGATCTTAATTATCCTTAAGAAAATACCGAATTATTTTAAAAATATCCTCAGTCTCTTATTACGGTAAAATAAAAAATATTTTGAGAAGAGCCTAATTTGAAACGATTAAAGTCACCAGATGTTTATTGCCGAAATATTTAAGTAAAATTATAAATGGAGAAAATAAGAAATTAAAATTTTATTTAGTATTTTATAATTTTATTAGGAATAAAAAAATCTAGATTTTTATCGCAAAATTATAAGAAAGTAAATAAAATTTAAATCTTATTTTCTTCAGTAATTTTTTTTCCTTTTTAGATTTCACCTTTTCTGGTGGTAAGTTCCTTCAATATCTCTCTCCACCTAGCCCCCGGCTGTCCAAGCCTGACGGTGACCGGGGTGGCATTTCTCAGCTCAGAAATGAAATTTATCATATCATATGTCTATACACATCTGTCATCGAAGAAAAATCCGAAAATTTTTAGTTCCTTACCAGGATTGAACCTGGGACTTTAGGTTTCCAAGCATACAGCATACACCACTGGGCCACCCGATGACATTTTTTTTTTCCATTAATATTTTTACTTAAATATTTATATATTAGTAATAACCATGTTTGGTGAGTTCCATCTAAATTAGGTCCTTCTCATTATATTTTTTTTGTTTTATCGGGAATACATCAAATCTGAAAATATTTTAAAAATACTTTTGGTATTTATTAAGGAGAATATATATAATTTATGACTTTGGACTAAATATTTATCTAGTAATTTTAAGATTATTATAACCAATTTTTATTGGACTTTGAAGGCCAATAACTCCGGTTCTATTTGAGATAGAGATTTAATGAAAGTTCATCGTTAGTTAATAAAATGCTATATGTTGTTTGGATTATTTTATATGTTTATAGTGCATATAAATATTACCTAAAATTATAAAAACCAAATCATTACAAATAGAAATGTACTGATACATTTTTTTTAGGGGCCGATCCAATTTTATCGATAACAAATTTAACAAATGGGTTTTATTCAATGGATAATTCTTGAATTATCGGACTTAGCCAATTCTATATTTAAAAAAATACAACGAAAGGGTCTATATAACATTTTTAAATAAATGAACAGGCTGGTTTATTTGCCCAAACCCTTTCATTGCAGACTTCTTGAAATACATCCATGATTCCGTATTCTAGCTCTTACCTCAACTTTAATTTAATGCTATACAAATTTTTCTATTTTTGGTTTATATTGAATTAGTTGAAAAATGATAATAATAAATTCTTACATTGCTTTAATATTATATGTAATATAAAATATGTTCTAACATTGCGATATTCATTTTGAATAATTATGTAAAAAGTCAAAAAATTCCTCAGTTGTGTTCAATTTCACCTAATGAGACATTCTAGATAAGGAGGCTTCTAAAATAATTTTAAACCTCATTATTCTGAGAAAGGCAAATTCATCGAGGTGTAAATAAAAACTTGATGTTCCAACTTTTTTATTTCACTAATTACGTTTTAAAAAAATAATTAAATAAACTGCGCTCTTTTTAAAATAGGTAAAGTTCGAAGGAATATGATAAATAAAACACAAAATGGTGTTTATATATTTTTCTGCTCGAAAACAGTGTAAAACTTTAATATATTCAAGATAAATCTTATATTTTAATTAATATAAACATTGGATTGAATAAATACAATATAGGGTCATTCCACGTGAAATCTATCAGATTTCGTGAACCTCTTTCAATGACATATGCAATTTTTTAAGCACTAATTCAATTAGTTTCGGAGATATAGTGAGTCAAAGCAAAAAATGGCTTCTTTTCTCATTCGATTAATAAATATTACTCAAAGAAGATAAATGATAGAGACCTATATTAGATATAATTAGATAGCCTTTGAATCCCTTTCTTAAAAAAAATCTCTGGTGTTTTTTCATTTCCGAAATAGATTTTTTAATATGTACTTAAGCATAAAATTTTCTAAAAATTGATATATTTTTATTTAATAATATAAATTTATATTGGAAAAATTTGGTTGAGATAACAATTATTTTTTTAGTTATTTAATTTTTTCTAATTTAAGTCATTATATTTAAGTTATTTTTATTTTTTAAATATATTTAAAATATATTATTTTATCAATGATTCCCATTTTGTTGTGGTTTTTAAATTGCCTGTGGATATAAACATTTGAGTCCACCCTGTTGCTGTTAGGTGATTTACCATTCTTATAATGTTATTGACAGGTATATAATTTATCTGCTCATAAGGTGGAAAAATGAAATGGAGGGTCCATATGGATGCAGTAAACTAATATGCACTTCTTTGGTCATTTCATTTTTATCTACAACCATAAACCAAAAATTATCGCACATGTAAGTTACATATCCTTTATTATCGTTCATTCTAAATCTCCTATGGTTTCATAAGTTTTTCACTATGTCTGAGAAAATGAAACAAAATATATTCAAATGCCCACTAAGGAAAAGTAGAAAATATTACCGAGATTTAGAATGAATTTAATGACTATGTAACTTGTTTGTACAGTTGGTGGTTATAGGTTGTAGACAAAAATTAAATGGTCGAAGTGCAAATTAGTTTTCTGTATCTGACCCTCTTCATCCTTCATTTTTCCATCTAATGAAGAAAATTATATATCTGTCAACAAAATTATAGGAATTGTAAACCCTCTAACAGCAACAGGGCACATATACACACTTACACTCACAAATGTTTTAACCACAATAAATTTGAAATCAATGATTAAATAATAGTGCTGTAAACGTTACCACAAAAAAGAAACGCGTTGTCGTTACTCGATACCTAAAAAAGGAACGCGCTTTACCGACTTTTTAAAAAAGTAACGGGCTACTCGTTACTTCAAAAAAATAATATTTATTTTTTTCTGACAATATATAATATAATAAAACTATACAAAAAGAATATATAAGATCGTTTTATAAAAAAAATATTTATATTATTTAATTATAATATAAATAAAATTATACAAAAGATATCTTTATGTAATATATATATATATATTATTTAAACAAAGTTTTTTTAAATCACTATTTTTTATTCTTTAAATTTATTAACAATTATAGCCAAACCAATAGCAATACTAAAACAACAAATAGAAGATATAAAAAACTCAATATAATACTTTGAACCAAAATCAATATTTTGTTAATCTTGGGTTTTTAATGTTGGTTCCAAGCCCAATACTGTAGTATAATTTAATTGCTTATATTTAAGGCTGTGCCAATTTGCATCCGATCCAATCCGATATTGCCTCAAACCCGATCCGATATTTATATTGATTTTTCACCACTCCCCTTTGAACCAAATGTAATTATGAAATCAATATTTTTTATGCAAAAAATCAAATTATGCATTTAATTTAAATTTGTTATTTCTACAATTAAGACTATAATTTAAAAAACATATATTTGATAATGTATACATTTTAAGATGGTATGAATTATAAAATTGTATTTAATATATAAAATTATAATATAGTAGATTTTTTTTTAATAAATACGAGTGCCTCTAGATTTTCTGGTAATAAGCTTATACGATATGGAGTATCTATATCCCCTGCCGTACTGTAAACTCAGATGATTCCGCAGATAACGCATTTTGCAAAATTATCTTTGTCTTTTGTTAATATTTCTATAATTCAGATACCATATTTATAAATATTCTTTCATTTAAAGTATAAATAATAAAATTGGCGTTATTATTTAAAATAATTAAAACTTTGGGTGTTCCTTTCTATTTTAATAAAAAAAACTTTTAAAATACTATAAATCTATTTTAAAAAAGAATAAAATTTAGAGGGTGTTGTGCATTTGCATTGTTTTTAAAATACTATAAATCTATTTTAAAAAAGAATAAAATTTAGAGGGTGTTGTGCATTTGCATTGTTTAAAAAAAAATTATTTAGAAAATATTATAATAATGTAAAATAAATATAAATAACATGAAAAAATAAAATAACAAAAAAAAGAGTAAAAAGATCGGATCGGGTTTTTACAGGTATCGGCCCTTTTTGGAAAACGCTAAATATCGGTGTTTGATCCGATATATAATACCGATACAGCCCTACTTATATTTTAATTCCATGATTAAGATCAAAATATTATGAAAGAATGTTATTCTACTATTAAAGTAATGTTTAAAATAATGATATGTGTAGTGATCGATCAGTATTAGACAAATTTTTTATTTTCAATTATTTTATTTTTCTTTCTTTATTTAATTTCAGACAAAATATATATTATCTTTTTTTTAAATCGCGGAAGAAAAAACATGAACAAACTATATATCAGAGACCTGCAGGCCCGGCCCTAAACCCGGGCCGGGCCGTATTTTAAATTTTTTAAATATACCCGGGCCGGGCATAAAAAAATTTTTTTTAAATATATCTGGGCCGGGCCTAAAAAAATTTTTTTATAATATATCCGGGCCGGGCCTTAATATTTTTTATAAAAATTTTTACATTATGAGTTAATGGTTATAAGATTATATTATATTACAGTTATGATTAAAATAATATTGGGTGATGGTTAACACTACCTAACACCCACAGATCGATCTAATTATTAATTTCCTGCAAATTTATTCAAAGTATTAATATATATTTTTTTAATTCATATCTAAATTTTTACAACATATTT